TCAGCTCATCCTGACTGTGACCAGAAGGAAGATGCCAGTGTGATCTGCTCTGGTAAGGAGCTTGCTGAGTGACCGTTTGAATCTTGATCGATGAACATGACAAATTGTTTTCATATATTGCGATGAGCTGTTGTCTTTCTGAAGTAAAATCTCAGTCTTTGAGATTCATGAATATTTTTACAATACATTTCACAGAGCCCGATTTTTCACAGACTCCTACACCGTCCACACCTGCAGGTATTCATAACTAAGACTGTTTCTACTGTTCGTGTTACAGTTTGGACTCGGGAAAGCAGTTTTATTGACATACTCATGCTTTTGTTAATTGTTGACGGTTATATTTGTTTCAAATTGACTGAAACATTTGAAATGTTCAAGTTGGGCTATGTCTATGCTAAATCTTTCTGTAACCCTGCCATTTAGAACAAGGAGATAAAATCAGTTCCATTCTGGCTGCTGTTTGCATCGCTCTAGCAGCGCTGTTACTGTGTGAATTGATCATGCTACTGGCTGTAAGACGGAGAAAATTTACCAGAAAAGGTAAGATTCAAATCTTCCCTCTTAACTAGCAAAGGCTGTCAGATGCTCCTAATTCTACTCATGTGCTGATGATGCTGTGGACAGTTGGACTTATTCCGGGCGGAGGGAGATCATTTGACCTTATTATAAATCAAGGTGAATCAATTTCTGGAAATGTCTTTTGATCAGGGCACTTCGGGAGTGAACGAACGGCAACACTGAAGCTGAGAAGTGATTTAGAGTATCCTCATTCACTTCGCCCGTTCCTCCAGCAATTGGGACACCGGAAAAAGTTACTTTGGACAATGGGTCAGAAGTTTTCATTGAGCTGTTTGGCCTCTGCCTTCGGTTATTTATTTCTCAGTTACTCTTCATTCATCCATTGGTATCGATTCGAATTCGTCAGTTCACTCCACTTTCGATCGCAACCATTTCCATTGACATGTCACCACGGATGTATCACCGTGAGTGTGCAAAATATGGCATTTCATATCGTGACAAGATACAGCAAAAACAAATCCATAACAAGCTGATGTTATCCTCTGTTTTCAGCCATCTTAGGGCAAAATCTCATTTCAAATGATTTCCAAATGAATATCTGTGTGACAGACTTTGTGTCATTTCTTTCAATGCGTGATCAGAAAATGTATGTGAGTATACGTGTGTTTTTGTCAGTGGGCATCAATATACCATTGAATGTTGATGTGTCAGAGAGTGTGTGAAAGCATACGAATGTTTGTAGGTGAGTGTGTGTGACAGCTTGTGTGTCAGTGAACGTACGAATGTTAATGTTTGTGTTAGCGACTGCCAGTGTGCCAGTGAGTTTGTCAGAGAGAGTGTA